TGAAATGTCCCTGTATTGCTTCTCAATACTTGCAATCAAAGTCTGTCTCCTGTATTGTTCATAACAATTGTCCAATATTACCGTGCCAGCCCTATTTATTAAAAATAGTCAATAAGACGCAGCTTTGTGCGAGGGGTTTATAGACTGGCAGTTCTTGTTTGGAACAAACCAATTGTACTTGATTTTAATCCAGGACTGGGATTCCGGAGTGATCTGCTACAGCAGAGCTCATGGGGAGAGCGGTCGATGACTTGCTGATAAGAAATCCTAGAGCAGCACGCTTGTCTTGAATTTACCTTCTGCTTTGCTCAAAGTGCTGGATTCGGAAAGGCAAAAATTGCAAGTCGCTTCCCCCCCCCCTGTTTTACAGACCCGTGTTGTGGCACGTTTGTTCCCCAGTGCCCCAGGAGTATTTACAGAAATGATTGTCAAAGTCAGAATCCACTTAAAAACCGGTGAGCAAGGCATTTGGGGTGTGAGCTGGTTGTGGACGGAGCGGGGCGTCGGGTCAGCAGCCACGTGCAGAAGCGCTACGCGTGGATCCTGCTTTGCTGGAGACAGACGAGGCACCCAGGACCGCTGTGCGTGCAGCAAGCAAGCAGAGGGTAGGAAGGGGGATGCTGAGTAAAAGCCCAGTGAATCCTGGAAAAGAGGTGCCCGTTGTGGTTGGAAGATCGGTAGGAATGTAGGAGCGGTGAGCTCAGCGTCCAGGGCTTTTGTCGTGCTCAGCAAACTCTTTCTGGGCCGGCGCGGGGCTGTGGAGCGGGCCAGGGCTCGGCAACGCGTGCGTAAGCGTTTCGGGAGAGGGGAAACTGTGAGGAATTCTGGCAGTGCCCGGCTGGAGGTGGGGCAGCGTACAGCTGCAGGGAGGCGAGGGGAAAAGAGCTACAGGGCGAAGCTGGGCTTTTCGGATGGTTTGGCTTTTAGTCACCGCCGTCATAACAAGGCTTGGAGCCTTCTTTGAGTCAAGCCGTGACTTGGAGACTGCAGAGGAAATGCTTGCAGGTAGGAAGGTTCTGATTCAAGTGGGAGAGAAAAATCATTTGTTACCGTAACAAAAGCCGCCCTTATTTGTTGTTTTGAAGAAGGTGTGAAGCATGGCGACTGAGAGGATGGGTGTTCTGAATGGCGACTGATGCGGTGCCATTTGTGGGTGTTTGTGGATTTGGCTTCAGCGTCGGCCCATTTCCTCAGGGCTCTCCCGACCAGCGTTCCCCTGCAACCGGCAGAGATCACGGACCTGCTCTCCTCGCATAGCTAGTGCTGTGTTTCAGTTCAATGCCTTTTGTTTTCCGTATTCATTAGAAATCTCTTGCAGACAGTTTTGTTTCTTGGAGGCAGTTGCCTTTTACCATACTTGATCTCCTCTCCCGTCACAGTGGCATTGGGGCAGGTCCTCTGTGCCCATGACGGCCGTTCTTGCAGCTTCATAAAAACAGTGTGTGCTCCCCAAACTCTACTGCTGAAAGAAACCGAGTCTTCAGCATTAGTAAGCAAGTGGAAACACTTATCTTTGCCCAAAAGATAAGGATTTTGGGGCTTGTGATTCATTGAATTTGCTTCCGAGTGGTAGGATTTAGTTACAATATACGGTGTGCGGTAGTTACGTGACAGTGACTAATGCCGGATGACCAGTCTGGCTAGCTGGGGTGGAAAACTGCTGTGCTGTCACGGCCTGACCACTGAAAGTAAAGTGGTTCTGGATGGCCCTTGCTTGGCAGCATTGCTGTCAATCGGCTTCTTAATGATTCGCTTAAAGAATAAAAGCAAGAGCCTCCTGGAAAGCTTTTTCAGATCTGTTCCTTCCTTCTTTCGTTTGCTGCATCTCCTCCCTGCCCCCAGCTGTATGCCTTGTGCTGTCTGCAGGGTTTTGCTTCCTCCTCCTCCCTCTGCTCTCATACCTTGTCCCTTCTCCACACTTGATTTTGTGCCCCACCTGACTGCTTTCGAAATACACCACTTGTTTTCCAATCCAGACTCTTAATCTTTGTCCCACCTACTCACGAGGCATGAAGGTTTTACGGGAGCCCATTAGCTGTTATCTCTGCACCTACCCTCCAAAGACTCACCGGGAAAAACGAGGTCGAACAGCGAAGTGCTTTCTTGTGGGGGCATCGACTGCTCTTTTCACTAATGTTGGCACCGAGCTCTGGTTGTAGGTCCCAGATTTCCTATCAGCCTGCCTCCACCCTGCAAAAACATTTGGAACCTTGAAGCTCCTTGTCCTTCCGCTCAGAGGACAGGAAGTTTTGCTTTAAAATGCCTTTTATCCCAGAGGCCGCTGGCTGCTGTGGGAGCAAAAGAGTGGTTGTCCACAGCCCGTCGTGTGCTCCCTGCCTTGCTGGTCTCCGGTGCTCCACGGGGTTAATCTCCTCGTTCAGTTTGACTGCTCTTGCTGGATGCTGACTGGTGTTGGGAGCAACAGCGGGGCAGAGCAGAACCGTCCCGTCACCTCGGGAAGAAGCGATGCTGCCATGCTCTCTGCGAAGAGGGCTGTCGAAGCAATCACGAGGGCGAAACTCTTGATTCTGCAGTGGAGTGTGGCAGGCTGTGCTGGGAGGGTGGGGGTGGCTGGCAGGATGAGCTAGGCTATAAAGGGAGTGTTTTTCTTAGCCCTTATCGCTGCTGTCTTGCACCGGTGCAAATTCATAATATGCTGTACCATTGTTATTTTTCTTTAAAAAAAAAATAAAATCAACTCTCGCCACTATTCCTTGATTTGAGTTTCAAAACATGCTTTGGAGACAAACACTTTTGGGGGGCTGTATATAGACAGCGTATTCTGAGCCTTGGTTTATTTGTGGGTATTTGGGGCACTGGTCCATTTTCTGCCCTGTTCTCTCCATACTTGTAGAGATTAGTGCTACCTGCATCTGTCTAACCTGGCATATACCTATCATCTTTTGGGTTGTTTTTGTCTTTTTTGCACATGCATGCTCACGTCTCATCCCCCTTACAGGCTGATTTTTCCTCATGCTGTTTTCCCTCCGTCTGCCCTGCACCTGGGAAGGTTTCCAGCTGGGCTCGCTGGATGGGCTGCCCGCTCTGGCTCCGCAGATCCCACCGTGTGTGCTCCCTGGCCGAGCCCTGGGGAAGCACCGGGGAGCAGCTCGATGCAGGCAGCCTGCAAATGCTGCCTTGTTTATGAGAGCTGCTTGGTGGTGCAGACTGCAGTCTGAGGGGAGCTGGGAAACTTTGGCGTAAAGCACTAAAGCTGACAAAAGATTGTAGGGCTTGGGCTGTAATCGATAAAACACGGGGTGTTTAGAAGCCAAGGTCAGAGTCCTTCCTTGGTTCACCCTGTTCTTTAAATATCCCAGCAGTTACCGATGGCTGCTGCAGTGCTTGGACACAGTGAAGAGCAGCGCAGGCTTCGGTCCCTGGAGAGTCTCTGCTTTTATTTATTTGGATGCAGATCTTGCTCCCCTCTCCTATAAGGTGTGTGGTTTTGGGCACCCTTTTCTTGCGCAGGGGCAAGCACGTGAAATCCCGCACGCAGAGGCGTTGCAAAATGGCAACCTACATCTGCTTGTCTGGGAGATATCTGTGTGCCCGGTACGCTGCGGCTCTTGAACTCCTCTGCCTTAATGGGTCAAATTTAGCAATTCAAAATCTGGTTTGTGAGGTAATTAGGAGGGATAATGCCCACTTCTTCCTCTTAACACCCTGATAGAAAAGCATCCAGGAAGGACTCCTGGACCTCAAAGATAAGCTGCCAGCTGCCACAGAGACTATCAAAGGGTGGCTCAAAGTCAAGAGCAAACAGCTGATTTTTTATGGTTCTTGGGTTTTTGCTGTTGGTGACAGGAAGCCATGTTCCCCAAGCTGTTAGCTTCCTGTTTTATTTTTACACCCAGCCCCAGCAGATCAGCATGCCTATCACATGGGAGCTGGCTGCTTCTCTTGGGTTGCTCCTCAGCTGACCTAGAAAAGTGATTCTTTCCCCTTCTAAATTAATCAAGAAGTTGGGGTGTATTTGCTTTCACTTAGGCTTAAAGATTTCAGGCATGTATCATGCTCCTTGTTCCGAGCTCTGTTTGCCCGGGTTTCCTCCTCTCGCTTGGAGGCGGACGATCTGAGAGGGGGCTGTTTGTTGCTTCAACGTTTCAGCCTGTCAGCAAAGGAGATTTTTGTTAGCTCAAGGCACTGACCTGCACGTAAAAGCGTTTTCTGTCAAAAGCATAACTTCCGGACAGTTATGTTTTCTTCTTTTTTTAATTATTTTTTTAAAGAAAGAACTGGAAGTTTGTCCTGACCGTTGTTCAGTTAATCTTGACTTCTTTCAGAGCGCACTCTGGTCCCGCATCCTCATTGCAGCTCCCTCAGCTTTAAGCTGCCGTAGCAGGAGAACAATGGTCCAGTGTAAACCTCAGCCCCGGGGGATTTCCCAAGGGAAGAGGGGTGCAGCCTGCAGGATAAGGAACAGTCACCAGAAAGTTTCCTGGTCAGCTGCAAGCGCTTCCTGTTGTTTCAGGAGACCAGGAGAGAGGCACCACGCGTGCTTTGCTGTGCTTTGCTGCTGGCTTTTTTTTTTTTTTTTTAACATCTCCCGCCTTCATCCTCTCGGTTTAAGCAAACCTATTGATTGCGAGGTTGAAATATTTCTGAAGAAGAGCGTGGAAAGACGCTGTGCACGAGCGCGGGCGGAAGGAGACTGCTCAGAGGCGGCGGATGGGTAGGAAGGGAACAACGGCTGCGGTGATGCCAGCAGCACCTTGCGTGTGGGCGAAGATGTGTAGTTTTCCATCTCTGCCTCTGTACCTGAGCTGGTGGGACTTTGCTGTCACTGCAAGGCATAGAACAGCAGGATCTTTATTTCTGATGAGCCAGTTTTATAAGGGTGGGGAGAGGGGAAAGAACGCTTATAAATAAAGCCATTTGAGAGCAGGAAAAACGAACACCATGGCTCTGGTGTGCCTGGAATTTGCGGTTGAGTAATCCTTTCCTGTTTCTTTTTTGGGTTGTTTTTCATCTTTCAGAACAGTGCCTGAAGCAGGTCCACCATGCCGTTAGTAACGAGGAACATTGAGCCAAGGCACCTGTGCCGTCAGACGTTGCCTAGCGTTCGAAGCGAGCTGGAATGCATGACCAACATCACCCTGGCAAATGTCATTCGACAGCTGGGCAGCCTGAGTGAGTACCATGGCGAGCCTGCGCGTTGCCCTCAGGAGTCGCTAGTGCTCTTTATTTAGCTCCCTTTCTACTCTCGTGTTCTTATTTCTCCCCCATCTGCCTTCCCTGGGTAATGCTAAAATGTTTTCCTAAAGAAATCTGATGCTAATTTCATATCCCTGGTCCCACTGCCTTCCCATCTAAGAGAAAATGGGGGGGGGG